TAATGCTGGATCTTCAAAATTTTTGTTCATGCACCACTAATTAACTTTGTAATTCATTAATGGACATGTTATCAGTATCTTTAGATTCTTCAATGGATACTATAACATAAGTAAATTTTTGAGTTAGGATACACAAAATTTTTTCTACACTTTTCTTGTCTGGCATATCTTCTCCATTGGTTCTAATCTTGTTGGAGATTATCATCACTCTTGCAAAATAATTTGTGATACTTTCATCCTCGTTCATCTCTAGGATCTCAAATTCTCTCCTTAATGCATTAAGAGAGATTTCTTCACTCTTTGGTTTCCACTAAATTTTCTCTCCACTCATTTTCGCTTCATTAAGTCCCAAACAATCTTGGTTGTGCGATGATCCAAGATTTATTCAAAGACAGTACGATCAATTTCTTGAAAGAGATAATGCTTTACTTGGTGATCTTTGAGTTTAGCATCATCAAGGTGAACCTTTTGTGTTAGTCAGCATTGTTCCTTCCTCTAGTTCTAAGAAACCAATCTCCACCACACTCCATAGACTCTTTGCTCTGAGAAAATTTTCCATCAGTTCACTTCAATGATCATAATGACCATCGAAGTGAGGGATCTTCGCTAAACTTTTGTCTTCACTCATACTCTCTCTATTTGATCACTTAAAAATTGGAGCTCTCATAGCAATTGTTAGGTTTTGACAAATAACTAAGCTAGAAGCATACAAAATTGAACTTTGGATTGATAATATTATTGATACTCAACTTCTTTCCTAGCTTTACAAATAACCACAAATTTGGTAAACAAATCTTGAAAAATATTTGAACTAAATATCTAAAAATATCCTAACTATTTTGACATAATCAAATTCTTCTAACCGCTCAATCCTGACTGATGCAGCCCAAACTAGTGGTAAGCCAATACTCCTCCGCTCATATGAATCAAGACATCAATCATACAATATAGAAAAATATGAAATTTTTTTTATTCAAATTATCTCAAGACGTTGCAATTCATGCTCCCTTAAAGAAGAATCTAACCTCATTTATTCTTAAATGGTTACAAATTTTAGGTGCATGATAATTTAGAGTTATAGTATTAAGTCATATATCTTAACTTTGTAAATGAGATTTGGGAAATATAGTAAAAATAGCCTATGTACTTCCTTTTAGATATGGGCTAAGTTTATTTGTAATTCTACGTGATTTAAGTTACTTGTTTAGAATCGTTCAAACTTGACGTGATCAATTTTGCTTGGAGTGATTCAAATCTTAAATAAGTATGGTTGTATTCACATATTTGATCTATAAGGTAATTAGAATCTTACTTCATTGTAGGGATTACTTATCATCGGCCCAAACCCAAAAATCAAACCAGCCCAAAGCCCATAGCTTTGATAGGTTTTTTTTTATGTAAATAATTATGGATTAATTTGCGTTAACCAGCCCAAAGATGGCTTCAATAAGTTTTTTTTTTTTTTTTTTTTTTTTTTTTTTTTTTTTTTTTTTTTTTTTTTTTTTTTTTTTTTGTAAATAATGATGAATTGATTTGTGTTTGTTTGTGAACTTTTAATCTCTTTTATCTAAGTATAGGAATAATTGTACCTGACAACCCAACACGAAAAGGTTGAGTTGAGTTGGGTTACCCATCCAACCAACTTTGGGTAAAAAAAAAATCTCTCAATTCAACGACCATGTACTCGTTTACTTTATTATTGACATATCAATAACTAACTATCATGTATTTGATTCATAAAAAATTCTATCAAATTTTTAAAAATTGTTTTACCAATAAAAATTAATTTGAGATTTCAAACACATGATGAGATAGTTATGATTTGGTACAATAGAGGGCAGGTGGAGAGTAAATATTGAATTGATGTGAGAGTCTATTTGGTTTTTTGAGTCCCTCCTTTTTAATATCACTTTTTGGCCATTAAATGTTCTTAGACACTTTGAGACTTCCCTTTCAATTTTACAATATATTCAAAAATTGTAAAATGACCTAAAATGGATAAAATACCAAATAGATGAAGACTAGAAATTGTTAAATCAACTTCTCCTCTAGAAATGGCTGGTAATACCACTTAAGAACGGATAGACCGTCCACCCAGTACCGCTACCCACTTCTACTAAGGCTGAACTTAATAGAGGTAAGAGACTTGGTGGCAACAACCAAAATGAAATAGAACGGACCATACAACTAAAATTTTAGCTTAACAAAATGAAGAGTCATGAGAAAATAAGAAATAAGATATTGCTTAGCTCTATGTGTACGGAACGTTTTGTGGAATGTTGTACCATAAGCGAAAGTAAAATCAATCACACTCAAACACCCACAAATATAAATTGAATAAAGAGACACAAAGATTTATGTAGTTAGGAGAGAAGAAATTTCCCTACAATTATGGCTAGCAACCAATCTCAATAATCAAAGGGTTTACAAAATGTATATCTCACTCTTCCACTACAAAAGTTCCTCGACAAAGTTTCTTCCAAATATCACTCAACAAATACAAAATGACACTCAAACTCAATACTCTCAATCATCGTAGACATATAAGGATAATTCATGTATCAAAATGATAATATGAAACATCAAAAGGTTATGAACTTAAACGAGAGTTAACCAAAATACATGAGAATATTTATCAAAATAGTCATAAATTAAATGAGACTTATGACAATTTACAATATACCCGCTTTAAAAAAAAAATTAATTATTGTGTATTTTCAAATTTTCTACATTAGTGACAATATGTTAGTCTCTCGAAAAACAAGTCGTTATAGCCATAAATATGAAGAACGATTATCATCAGCGAATATGGACTCTGAGTGCTCTTCTCCAAAACGAGTTCCTCTCCCCAAATCCTCAAGTCAATGTTGATAAACCCTCTCCCCATCCTCTTCTTCAATTGGTTTTAGGGAGGAAACAGTGGAATTTCTCCTTCTCTTGTTTCCCAAATGCTATAAGATTATAGCATTCGTAATTAGAATTTTTACACTGAGAGAAGACAATAATCACTCGTGAATTACTACTTATGAATTATTTTGTTAATGTTTAATTAACTTAATCATTTTAAAGTAAATACAAAATTATAAATGAACTTCAAATTGGAGCATCAATCCGTATGCAATGAAAAACAATAAATCTAGAGATGGAAGTGATATGTGATTCGCTATATATTTTTCGGGGTACTGTTAAGGATATTTAGTGATAAATTATAGTTTACCATACATATTATATTTGATATTTTATTATAAGTCAAATATCTAATATTTATCTTATTACTATAGATATCTTTCCATTTATTGTTATTTCCCTTTATTATTATTTCCATATCCTTGTAATTTATTTGATTATAAATAAGACAACTTTCACACCATTTAAGTGTGGTGGATTAATCAAACATTCTCATGGTATCAGAGTCCTCTCGGTTTAACAACCCCGATTCTTTCTTTTCAATGGGTTTTGAATCCTCTAATCTTCTTCTTCACCACCCTTGTTGGCTTTGACGCTGAGGGCAGTTTTCATGGGTGCCGTAGGCAGAGCCGATTGATTACTCTTCGGCTCCACCCTATTGACCTCCAAATCACCTTTCGTGTACATACAATCTCACATTTTCCAACCCAATTGGTTTTCCCCTTGGCCAATATAGTCTCTCTTATTTTCTTCCCAATCAACCTTTCATCCTTCACAGAAACCCTAATCTCCAGATCCTCTTCTCTTCAGAAATATACGAAATCTTGACAAGCCCATCAACCTTTTGCAAAGATTTACCTTCGGAATCTGGGTGCCGCACTGGCCTCTTCGCCAACCAAGTTGTCGCCCCCTTTCCTGCCAAAATTGCCTCCTTCGCTCAATGTGGCGACTCCTCCGACGGCTCTTCTCACCAAAATTGTCTCCTTTGCTCAATGTGGTGACTCTTCCGACTTCAACATTGTCTTTGTCCCTTGCTCTATGTTTCCCCTTCTACTTCTTGGGGTTAGACATATTCTCACCAGAGCCAAGGCAGCATCGTCGCTAAGCGACACAATCCCTCTTCATGGGTTAGAAATATTCTCACCGAAGCCAAGGCAGCATCGCCACTGAGCAGCGATCCCTCTGCAATTTTCGATGGCCAAGAAAGCGCCTCCTCTGAAACAGGTTGACATCTTCACGAAAAGTGTTTCTCAACCTCTTTGAATTTTTCAGATTCAAGCTTAACGTTCGTTTAAATCCGACGCTTAGTTTGCGGTGGGGTGTTAAGGATATTTAGGAATAAATTATAGTTTACCATATATATTATATTTGATATTTTATTATAAGTCAAATATCTAATATTTGTCTTATTACTATAGGTATCTTCCATTTATTATTATTTCCATATCTTTATAATTTATTTGATTATAGATAAGATAACTTTCACACCTATGGTGTGGTGGATTAATCAAACATTCTCATGCACAATTTGATATTAACATCAAGTATTTGGGTAACTGAATTTTAAACGAATTTAAGATAAAAGTCGATAGCATAAAAAGCAAGACGATGACAATTTATCCAAAAAAAAAATGAACAAATTCCTTTTTAAGATATGAACATTTTCCTCGAAATTTAAAGGTAAGAATAGTTTTTAATTTTTAAAAGAGCTTTTAAAAGTGGTAGAGGGGTATTTTTAAGAGGAGAAAAAGTGGCACCTTCAATTATTAAATTTAAAAACTTGAGACAAAGTTCTGAAGAGAATCTTAAAACTTTGATGTTTTTTTTTTTTTTTTTTTTTTTTTTTTTTTTTTTTTTTTTTTTTTTTTTTTTTTTT